ATGAAAAACAAAAAATTTAGCCTTTTCTTTAAAGTTTTTTTATTTTTATTTTTATTTTATTTTATTTTTTTTTTAATTGCGTTCAGACTTTGGTAAATTTTTGTTTAATATGGAATCTTACAGGAATCTATACTATAAATAATATTTGTTCTGCAGAGAGGTGACTTTTATTTAAAGTTCTCTTCTAAGAGAAAAAAAGCTTTTTAATCGTTTCCGATTTTTGATTATATTGTACGTCTGACAAATCGGATTTGTCTATTTTACACTTTCGTGAATGAGTATATTGGTTTTGCCCGTCATGCTGTCCATCCGACCGTCTGTTCTTATGAGCGGGGGTATTGAGTATACCCACGCCTGTGTGTGTCCAAATTTTCCCGAATTATACATTCCGAAATCAATTTTTTAAAAGTATTAAACAATCTTTACAGTATACTGATCAGTAAATCCGTAGGTCTGCATGGAATATTTTAATTAAAAAGTTCTTATAGCTCTAAGATATATCTATTGTGGTAACATTATGTTATTTGTTGAATATCCATATAAACTCGAGTCCATATAATAGATAATGTATATTTATATTATAAAGCTTAGTTCCTCATGATCGTCTAGCTAGGACTATTATGACTCGCTTACTCTTCTAATAAAAGGGAAGCATACACACACACACACACACACACATGCATACAAATATAATATTATATAAACTTATATACATAATGTATATGTATAACATTTTTTTTGTTTTAATTTTTTATTCTGTGTTCGATTGGTCTGACGTGAAAGCGAGAGTGTGGCCATTGCAGTTGTTGCTGTTGCTGTTGTTGTTGTTGTTGTTATTGTTGCTGTTGTCCCAGTTACGCGCCAAGCATAACTTTAGCCAGCTACAGCAGACACGAAGAGCGCAGCGAACAGCAAAATATTTACAAAATATTCATTGATTTCAAGCCTGCTTTTTCTTTTTCTTTTCCTTTTTTTTTTTTTTTTTTTTTTGTCTTCTTTTTTCTCTGTTGGTGTTGTTTGTTATTTGCTGTGTTGTGGTTTTTCATTTTAGATCATTTCTTTGTTGTGTGTTGTAATGGAGCCGCATAGATTAATCAATGGCGTTATATAAGGCAACAAAGAGCGCCAGGCGTGATATACGTTTGTTCATTGGCTTTGGGCAGCCAGCAGCAAGTGGAAATGGACATCGAATGAGGCAGATGTGGAAGTCCTCGGCTCCTGCTCACATTGTGGCTGCTGTCTTGCGCTGGCCTCCAATGGATCATTGCACGCGTCGCATGCGTAATTTGGTTGGGCATTTTCTTATTACGTATACGCCGCATGTTCCGTGGTGCTGCCCAACAATTATGTGGGCCGAATCTGTGTCAGTCAAACAGCCGACAATTTCCGCTAGTCAAAACCAAGTGCTCAAATCGATTGCTCACAACAACAACAGCAACCACAGCAACAGCAACAACAGCAACAGCAACAACAACAATAAGGCGCGCGCAAAGCGAGCAATAAAAAATCACTTGATTTGCATTTATAGCCAACAGCCAAAGTTTTGTGGAGTTGCTCCAAAAAAACTGGGCGTGGGAACATGCAGATCTCATGCCAGCCATGAATCCAGAGTCCACGGAGCACCAGCAACAGGCTAGAGATGGGAGGCAGGAGGCAGGAGGCAGGAGGCGGGCGCACCACAGGGCAGGGCTCGTTGGCAACAACTTTATTATGCAAAGTGAAGCGATTTTGATGACCGTTCGGGGGCGTTCGCCTTCCATCATGATTTGCCTTTAATGACAAAGTATTTAGCTGCCTGGCCTCAACTAGTTCAGCAAAAGGGCGACAGCAGCAACAGCAGCAACAGCAGCAGCTGCTGCCAGCACACCTAAATATCCCACTAAACATCCAATGGACATGGATTAGGAGCGTGAACTGTGCGCTTTGGCTGCGGGCAGAGAATTGTTTCGATCTCAGTTTCAGTTTCAATTTCGATTTGAATTTCAGCTTCAGTTTCAGCTTCATTGGGCTTTAATTAACACGACATGCGGCCAAAACACTTGGCCGCTAACTGGACAGATGCTAGCCTAGTCGTGCAATCTGGACAAGACTACACTAACTTGTTGACTCCATACTCAATGCACCTCAAATACTTGATAGGATGGAGCTACTTGACTATAGCATAACATTCAGAATTCTTTATATATGCTTAGACTTATTTTTCTTGAAGCTGCAATACTTGGACTTGACACAATAAACCAAATTTCGATTTCGTGTGATGAAATCAAGAATGTGCTGCCTAGAATTGTATCACTTGCTGATTGATTTGGGGAATTATACACACTTAGTTTAGCCATATTCGATATTAATACTCTCAACGAACTATATGTCAAACAGTGAACGAATGCACTTGACTATGATGGCGTTTAGTTTCGTATTGATCTTTATTCTACTTAGCTCGGGTTTTACACCCAGACTCATGCACATTATCAACCTAAAACTAATGCATCTATTGCTGAGTGTATAAGACTCAGCCTTGGTCTATTGCTTATTCTTATCCTATCGCTGAGTTTGTTAGGATCAGCGCTCGTGTCTTACATATCCTTGTTCTGGAGCTGCAAGGTTTAGTACTCATCTGTCTATAGAGTCCGTACATGTGACCCTTATCTTTCCCCATCGATCTTCGTCGATCTTCGTATATTTGTATATTCGCATATTCGTATGTTCATGCCTGAACAAACAGCTCAAATTTATCACAGCTGTCCAATCACTCAGAAGTTTGCGCTTGAAATTGGAGTTAATCTAGCTTTTATTCGGCTAAACGGTGCAGCACTGCTCTATTGCCTGACGCTGATTACGGCGAATGCTGGGACTGTTTTGGCTGACTGTGGCTCTGGCTGTGGCTTTGGCTCTGGCTTTGGCTCTGGCTTTGGCGCTGGGTCTGGCCAATGGATTGCATGTTGGTCAGGCAGCTTGATTGACACCTTTTAACTACCGTGGCGCAATTGGAGCCGACGACTTTTGCGACTCTTGTGTTAAGTTATTCACGGTGGCAGCAGCCGAGCCCCGTGACATATTTACCAGCAACACAAAGCAAAGCAAAAGCCAAAAGAGATCTTTCGCAATATAGCTGCGGCTCCATTGGCTCCAGTCGATTCCGCTGCGTGGCCAGGATTCCCAGATTCCGCAATGCCGACTTCAATTTCAATTTCAATGTCTTGCAATGGCTGAAATTGAATTTCTGCACTGATCGCATCAATAATTATGATTCAAAGTGTGGTGGAGACGGGGGAGGGGAACCTAGCTCCAAATTGCAGAGCTTACATAACATACACCCCACCTCCTACCCCTCTCCCTCCACTTCCCCTTCCCCTTCCCGCCCAGGGCGATGTCGATGCCTCGATTGGCAGCTGCCACGCCCAGCGATCGTTACCAGTTACCGAGTCCAACCAGTCCACAGCCGTTCGCGTGGCCCGAGTCCCGCTGTGCGGCGATTGCAGCAGCTCGCTGGAAAAATATTTGCACGTCGCATATTTAGTTAGCATAATTTGCTCTCTAATTCTCACTGACAGTTTAAGAATGTGACTGGTTCGCTGCAGCAACTGGTGTCGCTGCCTTTGTTGTTGTTGTTGTTGTTGTTGTTGTTGTTGTTGTTGTTCGTCATTGTCAACACTGTTTTTATTTTTTCCTCTTTATTATCTCATTTTTAGATTGGCACATTGCATATTATTTATAAGTGCAACTAGCCGAGTCCCAGCCAATCAGCGGCAGCCAGCTCCAATTACACCCACCGAGCGGAGGCGCCGCCTGGCGGCCAAACCCCGCACTAGCAGTCTGCACTGCCACTAATTAACGGTTGCGCTCAAACATCGCCTGTTGTCACATGCTAAACGAGTCTATATGGAGCGATCGATCCATGCCTTATAGTCCATATATCATGTCAGCGTTCAGTTTCAGCCAACATTTCAAATTTAGCATAAGATCGACTTCTACACAAACTATCAATTAGCTAGCTCATGAGGCGCTTGCTCTACAAGAGCTTTATTCCTCCATGTCTTCATTAAAATATGGGTTATTTGCCTTGGAATGTGATTTGCATCCCGGTTGCTCTGTTATTAACCAAAGTACAAATTGTAATTATGGAAATGGGTGTATCATCAGTGCCAAGCATTAGTCTGCTCTGGATCTATATGCAATATGTAGTCAATATGATTGAACTATATCGCGAAATTCAATGAGAATTTTTAAAATATTTATTTAACTTTTAATGATATCTTATTGAAGTTATATTTCATGAATTTGTACTTCAAGTGAATTAAATTATATTCAAATTTAAGGAAAAACATTTCTTAGTGAAACATGAATACTCATACAGTCGAGCCTCGATAATTTGTACTCTGCTAAATCGAAAATCGCAATAAATCGAGAAGAAAATTCTATCCCCTTAAATGAAAGACGCTCTCAATAATTCTCGATAACTTGACTTTCCTTGTAAATCGAGAAAAAAATGTATCCCCATTTCGAATTATCGGAATTCTACTGTATGACACTTTTCTATTAGAAATATCACAATATTAAATTGAAATATTATAAAAACAATCCATTCTGTGCAGAAGTTCTATATGAAGTCAACTCCGTTCCCCATGTCTACAGAGATCTTTGGACTTACGGTATTATCTATGAAATTGGGTAACAGATGAATGCCTAGTTTAAATGACCTATTTATGTCATTTAGCTCGAAAACTACGGATGTCATCTCATACAATACCAATTATTATATACTACTATTATTCTAGCAAATTAAACTGTCTGACTTATTCATAGAGAAAATTCTCCCCCAGCAATGTCATTTACCATTAGTCAACTTTAGCTGAAATATTTGTCCTCAACATTTGTGGATCTCCACATGGATTAACTGTTCATGTTGATCAGCTAAATGGATACGTCATAAGATTTCGGATTTCGGATTCGGATGGCAAATGCATTTCCGTTTCACTTGGCTCCAAATGGGCTCGACTTACCTTTGGATCTTAAGATATCACAGAATGGTTGTTTTGCATTTGCTGAAACGGCAACACTTGTTTGTGATCTTGTTGTTGTTGTTATAGTTGTAGTTGTGATTGTTGTTGCAAGTACCAGCAACAATTTGTTAGCTGATTTTCTCGCCTCTCCTCAGGTCTTGTCTTCAATGTGCCTTTGTTCGTTCTAATTGCTTCTGGCTATAGACAGATTCGCGTCTGTTGTCGCTGTTGTTGCGGTTGTTGTTGTTTCCCTTGGGTAAATTAGATGAATTTCAGGCAGCCTTTTAGACGCTTTTCAATGCAGCTGTCACTCTTGGCCAACACTTGTTGCTGCTGCTCTACATATTGCATAGGCAGCGGCAACAACAACAACATGACGCAGCCCAGCGTCAATTGGGGGCACTGCACAGAAAAAGAGATGGCAAAGAAAACAACGATTATAATATGGGATTTGATATACAATATAATGCAATTTCAGGGAACTATATGGAAAATGGTAAATTCTATATGCAAGTATGTATAACACTAGAGACAGGGAAAAGGACTGTTCATGCGCTAGTGGAGGACCAGAACCACTCGGTAATTTGGATCATGTGACATGACCCAAATCATATAAGAAATTCATACAATTTTCAGATCATTTCCTTGATATAGAAATAAAAAAAATGGATCCAAGCTCTTCTTCTTCTTCTTCAGAAGTTAGCCGAGGCCCTTAAATCTTCCTTTAAAAGGTGCGCAAGTAGATTTCGTGGATGGAAAACACAGAAATAGTTGTATGCATAGTTTGATATGTTGTAAGTATATAGAAATCGGTTAGACGGAACAGCCGAACGGTGAACGCAATTAGCGAGTAGAACAACGAAACGTAATGAAGCGGCGCGAAGGTTTTTATGGCCAATTACTGTTGGACTGGTTGAGGTCCGGGCAGCACCAGCAGCAGCAGCTCGATGCCATTGAAATGGAACGTAGAGCCGCGTAAAGAAAAAGCCAACAATTATATTAGCTGAAAATGTTGAAATGGAATTGCTTAAAGTGCGTAATTAGCATTTTAATGAGTGCTTAATTAAGAGATTTATAAACGGTAGCAGACAACTCCCAGGCCACGTCGAGCCGCACCAGCCGCGCCTAGCAGACCTATCAAGGCTGATTCGGGTCTAGGTCTGGGCAATGGCATTGCAATCGGTTCTACCTCATTGTAAGCCTCATCGGCAGAGGTAGAGGTGGTGGTAGAGGCGGAGGTAGAGGCCGAGAGACATCGTCATGCAGTTGCAGGCGAAAGGCGGAAATTGTTCGACTCAATGAGCGCACGCTTCAGGAATTAACCAAAAATTGCTAAATCTGCGAGGGGCAGGGGGAGGGGGCAGTGCAGTGGAGGGGTTAAATCTACCCATTTCCACATACTCCACTGGATCATCCCCAGCAGCTGCTGGGAGAGTGTGTGACAATGCATTTGGATATGTGAAAATGTGGATATTTTGGCTCTCTGATAGTTTCTCGATTAAAGCGGAGCTCGCACAGTTGGCCAACACTTGACGCCCAGTTAATTGCTTGCAACACACACTGCCACACACACACACACACGCACACTGGAATGGCCTACACATTTTTCTAGCTGTTTGCTTGCTCAGTACATCAAAATTACATTAGTTAGGCGCTAAGTCAACTGAACAGATACTTGTATATATACATATATGTATGTCTATATATGTATCTATATATGTATAGACAGCGATGTACTACTCGCCAGCTTAGTCGACCCATATTTATATGTCTGCTCGCATCGGGTTTCGGTGTCGATGTGTTAATTAGTTTACTTTTCCTTGCCTCACTCTGCGCTGTTCGCTCTTCTCTCTTCGCTCTTCTCTCTTTTCTCTACTCGGGCCACTCTTTGGCAACTGTTTTCTTAATGATCGCAATGGCTTTCCGAGCTGAGAGCGCATGGGAATGTTTACACATGGCGCGTTTCCTCAACCACTCACCCACTCCTCAATCTTATCCACGGCAGTTTAAATACGATCCATAATTATGGCATTTTAAGCATTTAGCATTACTTTCTTAGTTTGTTATACAAATTGGCTGGAATTTGAGAAGTTGTAGGTATAAAACAATCATGGAACTGCTCCAAAATAATTGGCAATAAAAATGAATGTCAAATAAATATAAAATAGAAGAAAACAACTTTTTGTTTCATATTTATATTTGATGTTCTATGGGAGCTAGAGCAGCATGAAGATATTACATAAAACTCTTACATATTATAAAAGCTACGCTCTTGTTTATACACGTGCTCTTCTTTCGTAGATGTCTATATGTCTATATGCTGTAATATATATGTTGGGTGTCTAATAAGATATGTATATAACAGACAATTTGAATGACTCGGAACTGTTTCTAAATTAGGTTCTTTAAAAAGTTAAATCTTCTTTTAAATCTTTACAATTTATTTGGAAAAAAAGGAGAATGGAAAAAGTAGAGCTGTACGACACCTGAAAGAAAACGCCTTTAAGAGTTTCTCTGTTACTTCTCTGATCTGTAGTACAATAATCAATCAATAAGAGCTCTGACAAATGCTCAATGTTCGTATTATCTGTGTTTAGGCATTAAGTGTAAACCCCATGCAATAATGCCTAAATTCTGAGTTCCTGGGCCACACCACATAAACCATTTCTTTGGCTATAGATGGCATAATGTGACTCCAGAGCATGAACCGTTTCCCTGGCTATGGAATACCTGGAGTCACAGTCCATGCGGTCTACAAATCACATGCATTAAATAGACTTTATACGATGCCGTTATCAGCGCCTCTACCGGGCTATCTCAGCTGAAAGCCGTGTCGTGACTATCTAAGCAGACGAGCGGCATAGCCCCAAATTGCAACTGTCTACACGAAGCAAACAAGATCGACCAGAGCAAAAGCAGCAGCTGTCGTTGCCCTTGAAATGATCCAAAGGCCTTGGCGCTTGCCTAAAGCTGGAGCAGGGGACAGAGTTTGGCTAGACGATGAGCGAGTCGAAAGACAAATTTGTTATCGATGCGCTAAAGCGAAGCTTAAATGGAAATTTGAGTGCTTTCCGCTAGCCAAGTGCTACACATCAGCAACAACAACAACAGCAACTATAAAAGAGACTCCATTATGCATGAAACACCGGCTCGATCAAAGCGCCAAAGACATCAATAAAATGATTGCAGAGGCAGCCAAAAGTTTGTCGGTGATTAAACAATGATCGTAAAGAGACAAAAACAATTATGGCCCAGGGGCGGCAAGAGGGCTGCCAGGCGAGACAGGCAGCCAGGTAGCACCGCCAGGTAGTCGACGTCATGCTGTCGGACGGTACGTGAGGTCGACAAATGTTTTACGCGAGATGCCAAATGAATGAATTGAATAAATTGAATGAGCGAATGCAGCCGAGAAGCAAATGAATCGATGCTGACTGCTGCACTACGAATGGAAGCCGCAAGCGTGAGATTGTGCGAGCGGAACTCGTAAATCAATGTTGTTGTTGTTGTTGCTAGTGTTGCTGGTGTTGCTGGTGTTGCTGTTGTTGCTGTTGTTGCTGTTGCTCTTCGCTGCCGTTTGCTGCTGATGATTGTCGTCATCTGCCGCTGTCCGGCCTAACTAACTGATCATCATCAGGCGCTAAAACGTTCGATAAGCGTCAAAACGTTTGACTCTTTGATTAATCGACTTGCCTGGAGAGTGTGAAGCAGAGTGGAGTGGAGTGGGGAGCTGGCGAGTGGAGCTGCCGCTGTCTGTGGCAGCCACTTGGGGCATTAATTGGGCGCAAGCTGTAAATTCGACTAACGTTTAATTGACGAACGGCTCGTCCGATCGTGCCACACGCATCTGTTGCCAGCAGCTGCCACATGCAACTGCCCCAGCAACAGCAATAGCAACAACAACTTAGGGAAATTGCAACACCGTTTGGCCAAGCTCTCCGCACAGTCCGATATCCGGTTGACTTCGAATTGTTGTTGAACAACTTATTAAATCATTTTTCTGCATATTTCGTTGCACTTTTTTTTCTCGTGCAACGGCCAACAAAAATAAAACCTCTCAGAAAATAAAAAACAAAACACAAATCAACAACAACAACAATCAAATTGGGGGGAAAAAGCAAGCCACAATAATAACTAAATAATAATATTGAGTAAATTCAAATGCAACGGAAATGGCAACTCGCGCGCTCTGTGCGAACTGTCGTATTCAGTTCTATATGGATCTGAATGGATTGGATGTGTCTTAGGCCAACGCTTCCAGCTGCTTAAGTATGCATTAGTCTAATGAATGAATGCATTTTTTACACACTTCGTAATATAGGGCAGAATTCTTTAGAATATTATCTAGTTCTAGATTTGTCACGCACTCAGTCATATAGAGTGAAATCTATAGAGTATAATCTATAATCTAAGAACTAAGCTGAGACTAACTTTATACGAGCAGTAACTATTAAACTCCTTACATACTACTAATGTAAAGAGAGCATATTAGCTTTTGTATAGGTCTATATATAGTTATTCCTCTATTTGTCTTCGCAATCTTACAAGTATTTGCTGCAGCTTCAGTGGCAATTGAATTCCGCCATAAATATCAGATATCATGTGGAATCGATCTGGCAATATTATAGGAGCAAACTTATACGCTTAGAGCGCCTTCCGAGTAGAAACGGCGATCCCTTGAGTCTCGAAAATTGAAACTATCGAAAATTATCGAGAACGAATGGTTTTCAAGAGAAGAGAACTTGTTTCGATTTATCGCGATTTTCGATTTAGCGGCGTACAAATTATCGAGACTCGACTGTATTAAAATATGATATGCATTCAGTATCTTTCTGGCAGTGGAGCGCAGTTGATATTACTATTACTCTTACGAAACCTACTAAAGTCAGCTCCCTGGTCAAAGCAAATCTTCTCTTAATTCTGACTTGCATTTTCGACCACTTTCTACAAATTCTGAAAACTGAAACTGAATATGACATTGCTGACATTGCTTTAGTAGTATTAAAGAAACTCTTACCGGTTTCACTGTTTTGCGCTTAGCGACCACTGACCTAAAGTTCTATAGGCGAAAACGCTTTAATTTAGAGCAGCTTTCACGCCGGGTCGATCTGTTGCACCTGAAAGTGTCTGAGCCGACGACACCTGGCACCAGCTCGAGCTCAGCTCATCGTGAATTGAAACCTTGAGACCTTGACAATGCGAAGAGTTCAGAGTTCTGTAGCAGCAGCGGGTGCAAGATCAGGACCTGAAATCTACATACGTATTTCCATGCATGCGCCATTCCAGGTTCTCATGCGCAGTGCTCGACCTCGGTCGCTAGCTGAGCGGAGCAGCATTTCTCATGGGTTTTCACCTGCGACTTTTTGCACGTTCCCATGCACCTTTACACTTGGCGCTGGGGCGCACAAGTTAACGCGCCACGCCCACCAACTCCCATTGTTTGCGGAGTATGTCGAGAAAGTTTTCGTTTTCATTTTCATTTTCATTTTCAGTTTGCTTTTTTCTGCTTCTGATTTTTTTTTTTATTTTCAATTCATTTGCAGCTGGAATTACACTCGAAAGAGTCAAAGAACTGGCAAAAATGCGCATTGACTTGCGGCAGTTGGCTCTGCGACATTTTACAGCACTAAAATAGTGTTGCCTAACGACCGCAAGTCAAAAAACACATTTGGCAGCCTGAACGACACAATTTGCCATTTTATTGAGATTTCCCTAAACAAAGGGAAGTTGCTGTCATTGGGATCGCTTGAAGTGGGTAAAGGTGCTCTGGCCGGAGGTACGAAAGGTGTCTTCTGCTTCTTCTTGGAAATTTTGTGCAAGGTTTATGAAGTCTTTGCGATGCTGAATATGCCAACAAAATCACAGTTGAGACTCAACTTTATGGCCAATAAGAGAGCTCAGAGTTCCCCCTAAACAGTTCATTCAATCAGTCTAGTTTATATCTGAGAAACATTCATAGAAGCTATATATAAACATATATACTATTTACATACATATATATACTTGAACAGTTTACGCTTGACGTAAAAATTGTACAGCTCCATGGCGCTCAAACTCTCTAGACTCTGTATGCATTGAACCTTCGGTCTCTACCCAATAATACGTACTACTTGGAAAAGCTAAGAAAAACATCTTTCAGAAATCGAACTCAGCATTTCACTGCCTCGACACATTTTGACTGCCCCGAGCAAGAGAGCTGTTTAAAAAATACAGTTGTCACAATATCGAGTCCCGAGAAACTTTCTCCATTGTCATTCTCATTCTGAGCAAACGGTGTCCTTCAATGAAGTGAATCCTATTGTATATATAATTCTTCCACAGTCAAACTGCATTTTGAAATTAACCTAATTAACCATAATTAATTAGTATATAATATCCATGTTGTTCTATCCCAATTCCCAGACAAAGATACACGTACACACATACACATACATATATTAATTAAAATATTTACATGCATCTATTTACGTCTATCAAACAGAAATTCATGAGCTTTGGCTGATTAGCATCTTCACGTTGCTTTATCCCTTGGCAGTGTTGTAAAAGGTCCTGCTTTCAGTGTTGTGTATTGTGTGGGTACATGCTGAGCTCTCAAATCAATTTGCTTCGACTAAAACCAAATCAAATAGGCAGCGCCTCGCTGGAAAAGTCACTTGCAAACAACTTTTCGATAAATGTAAAAAAAATTGAAATCCAGACAATAAAACATCCAAAAAAATCACACTCATAAATACTCAAAGCCATATTAGTGTAAAATTGATCAACACGCTGCCCGTCCTCTGGGCAACTGTCGCATTTTAATCGAAGCCATCGATTCAAGGTCTGCAAACTCCGGTTGCCATTTGTCAAAATTGTCAAAGAAGTCTTTCCCCACCAATTGACGCCATGAATCGCGTTCCCTTAGAGACCAGAGACGGTTTCCTCATACGCATCGATTTCGCATTGCTGCGCCGCTCGAAGGTCATGCAGGAAATGTGCCAGCACAGCGCCGGCGACGGGCCACAGCAGGAGCTGATGGTTGCCCTCGATCACGATATTCTGCTCAAGATTCTGCTCTGGATGGAGTTCCACAAGGACGACGAGGAGCCCGAATGGGTGAAAATGAAGGAGGAGCCAGCCGACTTGGAGCGCCACATCTGCGACTGGGACAAGGAGTTCCTACGCGACAAACTGTCCACCGTGCGGGCAATCATGAGGGGCGCCGACTACCTGGACATACCCTGGCTGGTGAAGCTCTGCGCCCGCAAGCTGCGCCTGCGCGGCCCGCCCGAGCTGTATATGCTCGCTCTAAGCGCCATATCACCAATCGATTAGTTATTGTAGTCCGTGTCGGCACTGTATGTATGTATATGTATATGTATGTATATTGTATATATGTTGTATATGCCATGTTACAAATATACTATACTCTGTATACTGTTACTCATTAAAGAATCGCATTCACAACAGCCACAGTCTACACAGAGCTCAATATTTGTCTCGAATTGAATGCGTTGATTGCGGGATCAAGAGGTCAGAATTCAATTTCCAATTGGCCAAGTCTCCTTCGAGCCCAGCTCTGCAATTTGTGCAGTATTTGAGGCACTTTTAATGAATTTTTCGCGTGCTGCGCATTCATTTCCATACATTTTCATGTTGCGTTGCGCGTTTTGATATACTCTTACAGGCAGAGACATACTCGATCTATCAGAGCTCTTGCAACATATTATTATAGAGGGTGGGTGAGCAGCTGGGAATTATTTGTGAGCATAGGTGAAGTAGGATTCAAGAAAGCTCAAGTGTTTCGAGAGAAGAATTAAGATATTTTGCAGTAAGTAATGTTAATGTTAATGTAATAATGTTATACAATAAGTAATGT